TTCGACAAAAATGTGTTCAATAGTGCGTTGTTTATACATCTAAGGATTTGTCAAATCCCATTTAATTTTTTGAAATGAAAATTCATGAATAAAAAAATTAAAAAAATATCAACAAAATAATTTTTCTAAATAATTCACAAATAAATGACAAATGAATGAGTTGTATAGCTTTTCGGTCGACCAGATGATCGACTCAATGACTCGTAATTTTAACAGTGTTGACCAAAGTAAAAACGCAAAATTTGAGAATCAAATTCAATTCAATTATTTTCTTTTGATGGGAAAATAATTGATTTTTTGGATTAATTTTATATAAAATTAATGTAGTAAACTTTGTAATAAAAGCAAAACATGTATCATAAAATATTTTCACCAAATATTAATACTTCTGCTTTCTAATTTTTTCTTTTGCTATTTTCATTCGAGAATTAATATTATATCGGGTAGTTCGATTAGCATATTATTACTTTGACAATTATATAATTGTTTAAAGTAAAAATTTAATACTATATATTTTTTGCTGCTGAATACTATTGACGTCACTGATATATTTTGCACTCTAAAGTATTGTTATTTCAGGCTATAGAAAAACCAGATTAAATGTATTTTGTTTCGTGTATTCATTCACGGCCAAAAATTGTCGTAGTTAGAAATACGACCCCTTACTATTCAATAAATTATACATTGAAGCTATTCACACTTGAACAAAATTTCATTGTTCTGTATCTTTGAAGTAATATTTTTGTATTTTCTGGAAAAAAACGTATACCTAAAAGATCATAAAACTGCCTGTGAGACAAGAAAGTGACCCTTCCTTCCCAAAGCAATACTGACAAAAACAGTAAATGTCTGCACGAGTTAACAGATTTAATACCAGTTTAGGGAAGTCGGATATGACAAATCCTGTGAAACAACTCCACTCGGATTCACTCCGAGGGAGGAGTTGTATCGGAGTGATAACTCCGGAGTGAATTACCCATCTCTAATATATATATATATATATATATATATATATATATATATATATATATATATGCGCGTGTATAACGTACACTCTATAAAAATATTACCAAGTTCTGATGATATTCGGTCATACAAACCAAACAATTCATATAACTTTTGATTTTTGAATTCTTGAAATTTAACATTTAGTTTTCGCTAAAACAATTTATGTATTATCTGCTCGTTTAGTCTTTACATTAACTAAAAAACAAAATAGTAAAACACCAAATACAAATAAATAGTCCGATAAAACAATTTAGAATATCAGAATATTTACAAAAAGCTGATTAACTAATAAATATAATAACTTAATACTAATGAATAGTGAAAAATAAACAGCCAACATACTCTGCAATAAATATAAAATCTTGTCCATTGAATTTCATTTTGTAATGATACTTTTATAAATAACTTTAATATTTCTATAAGAAAACAATCCTATATATCGAATATATACATAGTTGTTATCACGTAATAGTTTCTTCGACAGAATAAATAAAAAAAACCTTAATTTATATGTAAAATTTGATTTGCAACCGCTCACAGTAAGAAATTTCGTTCGCTCTTCGCATCTAGCGTGTCCGACCGAGTACCAATACCCGCACCCGCAGTTAACTGACAGTCCTAATATCGAGTACCAGTACCCGGCCCGCACAAAGTGTGTTAATATAGATTCAAACTATGTTTTTTAGTTGTTTCACAAACTGTAATGTTAATTTTAAGTGAGATTTAACAGTTTTTTTATATATAACCACTATAAAAGCTTACACCTGGGTGAGGTAAAAAAACAACTGAACGTTAACCCTGACAAAGGTGTAAAAAATCAAATTCAAATTCAAATCTGCAGGTCAATATTTCTGACAAAATACTAGATCAAGGGTATTTACAGTGCTATCTGTGTAAAAAATGCATCAATAGAATTTATATTCTGCATTAGTTGAATAACATGATTATTTTGAAAAATACCTTTCAAATTAAAATAAAACATTGTCCCAATTTACCCCGCCATTGGGATGGGATGACCTTTGTGCCATTTATTCCAGTTCGTCACACTGAATAGTATATTATCTACCACTCCTCGCAAAAATTCGAAAATTTTGTATAAGCTCAGTAGTATTATTTTCAATCGTACACAAAAATTCAGAATTTAAAAAAATCTGAAAAACTTGAAACGTGATCAGTATTTGATTATTTATATTTTGTAATGAGTCGAAAGACCAAAAAAGGCTTGAATTGGATTATACCTTGTTTTTCATAGAAAGTGAAAAAAACTTCCAGTTCGATTGTATTAACAAAATATCGGCAAACGAATATTGTTAATATAAATTATATAATATTGAACAAGTAGACTTTGGGGTTTATTGCTTTCATAATATCTCATTGTCTGTAGCATTCAAATTACACATCCTTAATTTTTTGATTCTCTAGAAATTGTTTAGCTTAGCTTTGCTGCCGGGTCAGCTAGTATACAATATTATTTCAGAAGAGACGAGCTTATTCACAATTATAAATTATAATAAAATAATTTTATAACATATATAGTAGTTGCACAATACCAGCTTCTGAAATGAGAAGAGCTGGAAGTAAATATTCAAACATTAAATATAATGTTTATCAGCAGAAAATATTAATAATAATAACAATTATTAACAAAAAAAAGCAAGGTTGCGCAAGAGGATCAAATGGTCACTACATAGATAAAGGTGAAGAACTTATGCATAAAAATAGTTATTGAAATCAAATTGAAAAAAATCTGCAATATCATAAAACGCAACTTTAGGACGCAACTAGGAAGCATGGAATTTTTTGTTGTCCAAGTTTCAAAAAAGACCTAACTAATTAGCATGTGCATACCTTATGAGTTTATGCCTGGTGATGTAGTTGTAGGAGGTCAAAGCCATGTTAAAAAGTTTCATATTGTTTTTAATAGAAGAAAATTTTACCAGCAGAACATGAGCAGTTACAATAATACGTTAGTGAAAAATGTTTCTGGAGGCCTCTTCTGGGAAAGGGAAAAAATATCCACAATGCTCTTTTCTGAATTTTAAATATTTTGATCAATTCCGATAACAAAACACATATTTGGATATTGTGTGCAATATGAAAATAAAAGTTGCTATATTAAACGGATAATAAATAATTTAAACCGAGCTTGGATTTTAGAGTGCGCAACACGAAATGTGATCTGAATAATTTAAATTATATGCTGAATTGTTGATGATTAAAGAGGTAATATAGTTGAATAATTGATCTCTTCTTCAAAAAGTAATGATTTTATTACACCATATCATTATTATTGACATTTGTAATTCAAATTATAATTCTTTAAGAAATTTAGCATGGATGAAACAATTGTACAAAGAGGTAAATTGTTAATGTAGATAAATGTGCGAGACACACTCAAACTAGTTAATTTGACAGAAGTTATTTGTTTGCACTCATTAAGTATAGCATATGTTTATGCTTTGAGTCAGCTTAGACAAATAGAAATCAAATAGCCTCAGTGATCGTCCACAAATACCAGAATATTCTAGTTTATTAAGAGATAAGTTAATTAAAATTATAATATTTCTTATAATAAAAAGTACCAAACATTTTTATAGATAACAAAATACTGATGTATAAAATATGGCTTTTTTGAAAAAGTCCATGAGAAATAGAATCATTCTATGAAACCCATGCTTATTCTTAAATAAAATATATTTATGGAGAAAAGAAGTTAATCTGGTATGAACATTTTTTTCAATTACTTTATAGAAAGAGATCAAATGGAACTGTAACGATTTATATCATATTTATTATATTTATAAAAATAAATCATCAACTAATGGTGTATGGCATCGTGCCTTAAGGCATATTGCTCGAATTTTCCGTGTCACAATGAAATACAAAAAATAAAAATTAGTTAAAATTTATTATGAAAATTTAAAAAATTAAAACAAAAAATTTAATTGGTTTTATAATTAAACCGCTTTCATCTGCCTCTAATATTCTACCACGGTCAGTTTGAGCATAAAATCTAAGTTCGAGACTAGCTACGTGCAGTTTCTCCTTATAAGGTATGCAAAAGGTTCAGAAATCTTCAAAACGTGAAGATATGCAAAAATTTTCAATTTCGATTTTTGGACGATTACAATAACTTACCATACGGGATGTTAATAATACTTTTTGGACTTGAGTATTTGTCTATATATAAGCTCGGATCTAATAGATTCAAATTATGATTTGAATAAGGTTTGTTTTTAATCGGAATCAAAATGGAAAATATTCAACTTGGCACATCACTAGTAAATACCTTAACACAATGAGATAAAAATATGTGCAGACAAAGTTCATGACAACAGCCAAAATGTGATCAACCTTATTTTAAATATTTCTGATCAAAATACTTACTACTATAGCTCAGTCAGCTGATTATAAAAATTAATTGATCAATAATCTAATGAGAATGGTAACTGCAAATGCACAATATTAAAACAAAAGCACATATTTTTAAGCAGGTACCATCAGCATAAATTTACTGTACAACGAAGTAATAATTATATTTGTGCATTGAAATTAACATGCACACTTTACTCGAATGCCCTTTGATACATCATCATTACAACAAATGTTACATTTATTATAACATTTGAAGTAGCTTCATTCTTACTTGAGGTTAAGAAAAAACTTGTTAAATTTAGTCTAAGGTTTATCTGTATAATATAAAATAATACACAAACACTCTGAATTATTCTATCACACTAAAAATGTAGGAAAATACATAAATACTTCAAATTTTACATTTAGTAAAAATTCAACTAGGCTATATCAAAAGATTGCATATTTAACTTTGATTTTGATATAGCCTGATTTTATTTTTACTAAATGTAAAATTTGAAGTACCTATTTATGTATTTTCCTACATTTTTAGTGTGATAGAATGCATGGTGTGCATTATTTTATATAAAAGAAAATTTATCAAAGAAAGTTGAGGTTAATTTCATTCGTTGACATACTTGAGATACAGGATCCTTGCTACGTTTTGCGGCTAAAAACGCCACGGCCATAAAATATTCTTCCCATTCTAAATATTCCGATCTTTTAGCATTAACGTTACGTTTTGGTATTTCATCCGTTTTGCTTCCTGACGCATCCAATGAAGCCATATTAATAAACAAACGTTCTTCAATTCAAACCAAAAACAATATAAACGTAACACAGGGTATTGTCTAGGCCTTAGACCCTTTGGACAATAAAATATAGACCATATCATAGAATAAAGATAGACTATACCATAGAACGGCCATGTCCAACCTGCGGCCCGCGGGCCGCATGCGGCCCGATGGCGATTTTTGTGCGGCCCCATGACAAACAACAATCGCACAAATTATTATTTTCAATTTGAATAAATAAAATAATTTTTGTAAAGGCTAATATAGAAGTCTGAACACTAAGTCAGCTTCAACCGAAAGTAATGGTCATTAATCGAATGAATAGATGGCGATATGATACTCTATGGATAGCGCTTGACAGATAACGACAAATAATTGTCAACGCAACGGACAACTGGAGCCTAGCGGCTCTATGGACAAGTGGGCAACACTAGTTCACGAGTCATTCACCAGTCTATAAGTCCATATGATTGTAATCGTGGGGAGTTATCTTCGAAAAAATGTTCATATTACGATTATTAAAAAAAAAAAGAATGTTCAAACAGTTTTAAAATACAAAAAAAAAATTTTTTTTTTCAAAAAAAATCCACTTTTTTCAATAATTTCAAGATTCTCAAAAATCTAATTTTATCAAAGTTTTCAAAAATATTAAAGCTTTTAAAAGTTTGGAATTACGGTACGAGAAGTTCCATCAAATTGCCTTAAGGCGCGATGCCATGCACCACTAGTTTTTCCAGATTTGTTGCGGCCCAGTGCCTTGTATATTCCTAAATTTTGGCCCAAAGAGTAATTTAGGTTGGACATCGCTGCCATAGAATATAGACCATATCATAGAATAAAGGTAGACTCAGACTCCGAGTGCTAGTGATTGCTAAGGGCGCTACTTGGCAATAGCGCTTTCATGGGGAGTTATCTCCGAACAAATGTATATTACCATAGATAAATAAGCATAAATAGATCGCTATCTCGGGCCATTTGACGTTACACTCATTTTAATTTACGAATAGATCACTACATGGAAGCACATGTACATACAGTATGTAAATTAACCCCTGGTATTACTTCTACATTTGTACATCAAATCAATACAGCCCAAAAATCTGAAAAAAAATATTATTTGAAATAAGAACAAAACATACGAAATACAAAATATATTTTCAAATATATCACAGACATATTTTTGAAGAATTATAAACTAAACAGAAATAACTGACTACTATTAATTAAAGTATATTACAGACATATTTTTAAAGTACTTATTCTATTAATATTCTAGAAATAACTTATTCATATTAATTACTTAATGACTAATAATAATATATTAAAACTTAAAACTAAGAAGTAAAAAGTGCAGGAGTATTGATGATGTAATGACAAATTTAGAAGGAATGACAAGTAATGCAATAATTTAAAAGGATAAAAAGAACAGCACATTTTTAAAAAAGAATGAATACTTTCCAAACAAAATAATCCTAAAACAAAACATATATATATTGATATCCAAATTGAGATAAAACTAAATTCCTAGGATTAAAATTCATTTACGAGACATTCTTGTTTATTATCTCTCCATTTAATAGTTATTTTGCTATCTAATCAATCATTAATAAAGTTATATTTGACGAAATCTTTGAATAGTTTCTGTATAAGTGTTTTTAAACGTAAGTAACCAAAACCCTGAACTACTTTTAATTTATACCAATTGTAGCTCAAATCTATCTATCGTTTTAATCCAGTTTTTATTGCAAGGAGATTTAGTTAAAACTATAACTAAACCCTTGCGCTTTATAAACTGTCTGGTCTTTGAGTATGCTCTCTTAATTGAGACATTATCAAAATTCTTGACCTTACATTTTAAGTTTCCGGAATATTTGAAAACTTCTCAGAACATTGTATACTCTGTTGGAATTTATCCTTTAAATTATTGCATTGCATTTTAATCCCGAAACAAAATTTGATGTATCATACATCTTCTGGGTGTTAAGGCACTCCTACGCCTAATCATTGCATTCTGCGGCAATTTGCAGCTACCATCAAGGACTTCTATTGAATATATTGTTATATCATATTAATTGAAGATATTGTAATTATCATATTAAATATTTTTGCTGCAATTAGTATGAAAAAATACCTTTTCGGAAAACTGGTGTCAGAATAGGTGACTTTTAACCTGCACTTCACAATCTTAGAGGTGCTGCAAAAATCTTTTTCAAGGTGTTTAGGCTTCCATCTCCTAAGAACATAAGATTCTTTTATTAATTTTTTTTTGCAAATGTTATTGAAGTATTTAGAGTTATAATTACTTGGCTTTGTCCTTGGAGTTGCAGATTGTTCTTCTGGTTCTGTATCAGAGCATTCTCCAGTGACTTGAAAACTATTTTGTTATTGCCGTAAAGGAGACACTTCTATTTGGTTTCGATTTCAAATTATCGTTGATTTGTGCCACAAACCGAAGAGTTAGGTCATCCATTAAAAGATTATTCGCCCTCTGCATCCAAATTGAAAGCATCTTTTTACACACAAATTTTTACACACAAATATATATATAATATATATTTACACAAATATATATATATATATATATATAACATTTTAATTGTATTGTGATGATACATATTCATTTTATGCATAATACATCATTATATAAGTACATACCTGATAATTAGATGCCGGAAAAACATGCATTTTTTTATTATATTTGGGGTTATAACAATTTGGCACATAACACTTTATCATTTTAACTTAATAATAAATGAAAAAAGTATTCACCAAAACATAATTATATATAAACAATCACAGAAAATCTCAACTACAATACGCGATGACAATTTGACAACTTATAGAAGATGGCCGATCAAATCAATGTAGATCAACAAGCCAGCTGCTAGATCAATGAAATTGGAAATCGTAGCGCCATCCTTCGAACTATTCAAATACCATTCCATTTCAAAACACGGTAATCTTCATTTGTTCGGAGATTACCGGCCATGGGGGGTTATCTCTGAACAAATACGCTTTACCGTGTTTTGACATTGGGTATTGCCAAGCTTAGATTATAGATGGCTTACATTCGCTCAATTACAACAACGCTCGTTCGCGCATTTGACAGCCGTCGTACGAATGTGCCAATAACCTATATGTTGTTGCTAAATATTTCTGTTCTAGTGAATATTTAATAAATAAATTTAGTATGGTCACGTGCCAAGTTGTTTCAACTAATGAATATTGAATTGCACGTCTTAATTGATGGCCAGGTATGTATGATGAGTTATATTTATTTATATAATGAAAATGTATAATAATAATACACGATGAAAATGTCAGAAGTCAAACACTTTTCAATCAATTCAAGAAGCATCCTAAAGTTCATGTTCTCCGGAGCCTAAATATGCCGGATTTGTACTGTATGATGTATTTTAATATAATTATTTTAGAACTTGGTATATCAATGTCAATTCATAAAAATGATGTAAAGGCAGTGGCAGATTGTCGAAGGAGAGTAATCTTACTTCAGGTAACTAAATACAAGTTGCTTATATATTTTATTTTGAATAATGTAGTTGTATCTTTAAATCAAGTATCTGTCTTTCTTGTAATAATTTATATAATAATATGCTTCTTGTTTAGGCTTCTTTGAGCTGTATTGAAGTGTGTGGATTAGACAAATCTCCTTTACGGGAATCATGAAAGAGTTTTCCTCTCACGCATTCACGACTAGGAGAGCATTCTGATGTAGAATCAGGCGATAATTCTGATAGAGGGTAAACAAAACAATCTAATAAAAAAACACGACAGTGTGCAATCCAGAGAAAGGGCCAAGTAATTTTAATTCTAATACCATTTGCAAAGAAAATAAGTAAGGACATAATTCTTGCTTTGAAACTGTACAAAAAGTCTGCAAAGGTATCAAATGCATACTTTTTATTCTGTTTATTGAAAACACCTGGCTTTATAGTTTTTTTTATCTTTTATGGAAGTTTTAATGTTAATGGATTCATCATGATCATAAAATGAGTAAATGTGATTTTTAAAAATCACTCATACACAGAAACTATTTAAAGATTTCGTCAAATGTAACTTTATTAATGATTGATTAGATAGCAAAGTAACTATTAAATGGAGAGATAATAAAGAAGAACATCTCGTAAATGAATTTTAATCCTAGGAATTTAGTTTTATCTCTATTTAGTTTCGAGGTTTATTTTGTTTGGAAAGTATACGTTCTTTTTTAGAAATTTGCTGTTCTTTTTATTCTTAAAAATTTTTTAAAAATTTCTTTAAAAATTTATACTTGTTTATCTATGTTACCGGCCATGTATATTACCCTGTTTTGGAAAGGACTACTATTTTTAGCGAAAAAAAGATGTCGCTACTAGTTTCAAAATGTGATGGTTTCAAATGTCAAAATTACTCGCTTAGATTTGCCATTCGCCATTTTGTATCAAAATTTGTGGTTCGATGTTGTTTCTGTAATTAATTGTATTCAAGTAAGCATTTATGTGAAATTTAATATGGCAAAATGTAACCCACCAACTTGTGGTAACTTCAGAAATAATATAAAATGCACTCTTTCCGGCTTTATGAAGTGAACAAATTAGAAATGTACAATTATATTTCACAGAATAGTTCTCATGTCTATAATGACCAGGAGAACACTCTGCAACTCCAGTGGAAAAGGTAATAATAATTCTGAATATTTTAATACCATTTGCTATTACGACTTGATATTATATTACAACATGTTATGTTTATTAGATGTTCTTGGGCATACAAACTGCAGCAGAATCTAGTGACTGAGGATAGGAGTGTCTTGATGCCGAAAAAAGATGTTGTTACTAAATATGTAAAACGTCAAATGGATCGCTTAGATTTGCCATTCGCCATTTTGTATTCGCCATAATAATAATTCTGAATATTTTAATACTATTTGCTATTACGACTTGATATTATATTACAACATGTTATGTTTATTAGATGTTCTTGGGGATACAAATTGCAGCAGAATCTAGTGACTAAGGATAGGAGTGTCTTCATTCCAAGGGCATGTAAAATGTATGACACATCCATTATATGTTGAGGGAGTTAAGAAGGATAGACAACAATGCAATTTTTTAAGGTATAAATTGCAACAGAGTATAAAATGCTCAGAAATATTCTTAACATTCCAGCCGAAAGGACTGCTGCACTTTCTATTGACACAATCGAATCATAAGAAATTCAAGATATTGTAGAATGCAACTTTTTTAATGATTGATTGGAAAGCAAAATAACTATCAAATGCAAAGTTAATGTTAAAGAAGCATGACTCATAAATAAATTTTAATTCTTGGAATTTAGTTTTTCTATCAATTTTGATATCAATATATATTTTATGTCTGTAGGATTTAACTTTTTAAATTTGTTCATTATTTGTCATTTCTTCTAATTAACTAAAATTGCAACTCATTATTCCAATTTTTAATGAATTGATAACTTTTGACCCAAAGACTATAATATTTTTTCAAACTTTGATGAATTTTGAAAATGTAATAATGTGCAATAAATCCACTTCGAATACTTTTAACTACTCATAAATTAATTTATCTATCATGGATTAAGTCGATTATTTGAACATTTCGGGAAGTTCATGTAACTTGCCTCAAGGCAAAATGCCAATACCAACTAGTTATGTTTAAGATCATATATAAGTAAACATATAACTGAACATTTCGGCATACCATAGAAAAATTTGATATATGTGTGTGCGTATATGTTTTGTGTGGATACAACTTTTTGTCCACGATTGTGGGCGCGCACATCAACCGATTTGAATGATTCAAAAAGCATTCAATTCCCAATGATGGGGAGAAGTGGTGATTGGTTCTTGGAAAAAACAGATCCAGCCGTTTTGGAAATAAGGTGCAAATAATAATAGTTTTTGAGAGAACGAAGCATCCGTTTGAATGTTTCAAAAAACTTTTTGTTTGTTATAACAAAACGATTATTTTTGGGAAAAACAAAAAAAAAATTACATTTCCAAAAAAAAAAATTTCTGAATATCAAAAAGCATTTGGATTTTAATATTAATTCTAGCTAAAATTCAAAACCTCACTTGAATATGCTTGAAATATTATAATTATATATTTGAAAACATTTAATATTCTTCAAATATTTTATTACGGTAAGGGAAGATCCAGCAATAAAGTTTGAATTTAATTTTTTTTATGATAGTATAATATTTTCACAAATAAAATGATACAAAGCATAGATAAATAAGCATAAATATGATAGAAAGCATGTCAAATCGAGACATTTTACAGTAATATAATACTCTTCTTTAATTATGTATTTCACGCGTATTTGTTCACTACGAAAACCACCAGATAAACCATCATCCTACCGTCCGATATGCATGCCGGATACAGCGGGTAAATTTTTAAAAAATAATTCACGAAAGAATAGATGCAGTAGCTGACAATCAGTATGGTTTTCGCAAAGGGCGTAATTACATTTCCGTAAACTTTTGAAAGCACATTTGTAACTGTGATTGGTCTATAGTTATTTGAGTCAAGTTTATCTCCTGTTTTAAAAATAGGTTTAAATTTGACCATTTTAAACATTTTGGAAAGCTACCTTTATCAATGCATTTATTTATAATTGTTGTAGATGTTGGGTTTAGCTGATATCAATCAAACCAATAAAATCAAATTGCAGTGCAGAGAAATGTCAAATACGAGATTCATTCTGCGACAAAGTGCTAACAGAAGGATCTAATATTTGTTTAGCTGATAACACATACAACATGCAAATCATAAAATATCCTATGACCTTGTCTTAAAACTTTATCGTACTTTTAATCACGTTTGTTCTAATGTGGTGGCCAATAACAAAAATATTTTAATATGAGTGCATACCACTTTACTGAATCTATCCAATGAAGCAATTTATTTCTTCTTGAATTTTCTTTCGAAACTATAACAAAATTCACTCTGTTCATGTACTTTCTCCACTTATTATACTCGCATTATTTGATGGCACAGATACGCCGCATTATTTGAAGGCACAGATACGCCGCATCATTTTAGAAATAAATAAAAACTGCGATTTGAAACAATATTTGACAAAAACGTAATTTCAAATGAAACCTGTCAAACGCCATACCGTTTAGTGTTGCAATTTTCGGCCACCGTGAGAAGACACGGCGTTTTCACTGACATTTTTATGGACTTGCCCGGCGCCCTGGCCACTTATACTTGTTTATCTATGGCCCTGGCTATGTGCGAAGGCATGGAAGGGGAAGTCAAATCGACCGAAGCGTTCGTAGTGGCTACTCTGAGCATTAAATGTAGCTATTATAACCGAAATTTTAAACAAAAACACATAAAATATTTGTTTATTTCAAATTTAAATGAGATAATTAAAAATGAGCCACCAAAGCTGCTGTGTAGTGGGTTGTAGAAATACCGGCAGAAAAAGTGACTGCAAATTCTATTCATTTTCTACAGCTAAGTGGAAAGAAAATCAACGGGAAAATTGGATCGCTGCGGTTAGAAGAATAAAGTAAGTATCATAACCTTATTGTTATAAAAGTACAATTCGGAGTATTATGAATAGTTGTAAAATTGTTATGTTCAGCAAAAAGAAAAATTATAAGTCTATAAATTGTTATATTATCAAAATTTAATGCTTACTAGAAAATTTTTTTTTGCAAACAATGTAATTAATACAAGGCTGAAATAATGAAAAATATATATTTATATATTGTATATTGATTATGTATAACTATTATCTATATATTAATTACATTTTATTATATAATAATTGTAATTTTATGATTAAAAGAAAAATAAAAGTTATCACATAGCGATAAAATGTTTATTTTGCAAATAGTTTAATTAATACAATGCTGAAATAAAGCAAAATATATATTTGTATTGTTGATGGATCACCGCCGTGGGTTCCCAAGCCCTATGATCGCATTTGCAGTGAACATTTCATTAGAGGAAAAAATCGGTCGAGGTATTGAGTTCTACCTACTTGCCAACAATATTTCCTTCAATTTACAAGCCTCGAAATGTTAATGTAGTTTTTTTTCCTGCAATTTTATTTGATGGATGATGGAATCAAATCATGTCTTTATAATAATGTCTATTGTAAGTCTTTAGTTTGACCAAAAATAATAAAAAAATGAGTAAATTAATTTATTATTTACTTATTCTATTAATAAAATATTTTTATCATTATTATATTGTTTTTATTAAGAACTATTCCAAGATTATGACATAAGCTTTGAGGCACTTAACCTTAAAAATGTTTACTGCATTTCTTTATTTAATTAATCATTATACTTAATTATGTTTTAACTACGTTGAAGTAAATTTAATAATTTCAATAATCATTCATCGTTCACATTATTACTGTATCTTGTTTATTATTATTTATAACAATTACTTAATATCTTTTTCTTTAACAAACATATAAAACCCATGAAAACCACACACTGATAGCAACAATTAGTTCATATTTATTACGGCGTGCTGCATGGGCGCTGCAGTCACGCTCTTATAAGTCTATAAATTGTTATATTATCAAAATTTAATGCTACTAGAAATTTTTTTTTTGCAAAACAATTTAATTAATACAAGGCTGAAATAATGAAAAATATATATTTATATATTTGTATTTTGATTATGTATAACTATTATCTATATATTAATTACATTTTATTATATAATAATTGTAATTTTTGATTAAAAGAAAAATAAAAGTTATCACATAGCGATAAATGTTTATTTTGTCAAATAGTTTTAATTAATACAATGCTGAAATAAAGCAATATATATTTGTATTGTTGATGGATCACCGCCGTGGGTTCCCAAGCCCTATGATCGCATTTGCAGTGAACATTTCATTAGAGGAAAAAATCGGTCGAGGTATTGAGTTCTACCTACTTGCCAACAATATTTCCTTCAATTTACAGCCTCGAAATTTTGTGTGTTTTTTTTTCCTGCAATTTTATTTGAGATGATGGAATCAAATCATTCTTCTATAATAAGTCTATTGTAAGTCTTTAGTTTGACCAAAAAATAAAAAAATGAGTAAATTAATTTATTATTTACTTATTCTATTAATAAAATATTTTTATCATTATTATATTGTTTTTATTAAGAACTATTCCAAGATTATGACATAAGCTTTGAGGCACTTAACCTTAAAAATGTTTACTGCATTTCTTTATTTAATTAATCATTATACTTAATTATGTTTTAACTACGTTGAAGTAAATTTAATAATTTCAATAATCATTCATCGTTCACATTATTACTGTATCTTGTTTATTATTATTTATAACAATTACTTAATATCTTTTTTCTTTAACAAACATATAAAACCCATGAAAACCACACACTGATAGCAACAATTAGTTCATATTTATTACGGCGCTGCATGGGCGCTGCAGTCACGCTCTGAGCGAATTGGGGTATGAATATCGCATCTATATATATGTATATGAATGCATATGGAAGGAAAGTGACCGTACCGTCTTATCTATGAATTACGTCTTTGTAGTTTCCTAATATGGGCAATTTAACTATTTCGGCTTTAGATTACATGTGCTAGTGTCTTATGTTTTAAAGGAAACTTGTGATATCGATTCAGTAGATAAACTTGTCCGGCAAATGATTTGAATATGCATTTTTGACAGTCTCCATAGTTAGTATATCTAAGTGAAATGAATAAAAGCAGTTGTTAACTTTGTCTAATGTGGTTATCTACGACGTAGATGTGGTTCTTGGCTGACTTATGTGCAAAGACATTTTGAACTCTTATGTTTTACTGGGAAAATAGATAATCACAATTAAAA